ATTGATCTGACCCAGTATGACAAAATGTAGCAACAGATGGGACTTTGTTTTTCCTTTCTTTTTTTGCCTCCCATGAAGAAAGGTATCAACTAGGGAAGAGAACTTCTATTGAACTGTGCACATTTTCATAAATAAACAGTATAATGGGCAATAGGAACCAAATAACGCCTTATAAAGATACTGAAAATATTTCAGTCTTTGCCTGTATATTTATTTTGTTTGAATAGGAGAATATTCTGCTAATTAGATGCTTATCTTATGCTCTTCTTATCCTTATAGAAGCATAGAATCCTAGAACTGGAAGGGACCTGTAAGATCATTAGGTCCAGTTGCCTGCTGTGGGCAGGAAGTTATTGGGCTCAAACGAGCTCCACAAGGTGCCTGTCCAGCTTCATCTTGAACACCTCCAAGGAGGGTGACTGCAACACCTCTGTTGGGAGTGTATTCTATATTCTGGTGACCCTAACAGAGAAAAAGGGTTTTTTTTTTCCTCATCTCAGGCCTGAATTTACTCTCTATCACAGGGATGGCCAAAATATTGCCTTTGGGCTGTATCCAGCCCACCAGGCCATACTATTCAGCCTGTGGAGCCCCCAAAAATTTTAGTAAACTAATATTTATTTGCCTCTGGCTCTCTGTCAAAGCTAACTGGAGCCAGGGGCAATAGGACCCAGAGGGAGCCCTCAGCAGCTTTGCAGGCTTGAGCTGCCCAACCCCACCCACCCCCAGCCAGCTCCCTGCTTTCCTGCCCCTGCCCTGCTCCAGCATCACGTGGCGGTGGCTCCCGGGCTGTGGCTCCCTGGGCCATGGAGCACAGGATCTTGCTGATAGGGGGAGGGGATGTGAGTGTGTGCATGCGCACATTCCGCAGGCACAGGGGCAGAGTGTGTGCGAGGGGAGGTGTGGGTGCATGTGTATGGCGGGGTATGTGTGTGGGACTCACCCGATGAACACACACACACCCCACCATACACATGCACCCACACCTCCCCTTGCGCCACCATACACAAACCCCAGCCACCCTTCCCCATACTCACCCACACCCCACATATCTACACACGTACCCACATGCTTCCTCAGCCCACACACCCGCAGCCCCTACAAAACTATACCCACCCCCAACAATATACAAGAGTAAGACTTCATTTTAAGCTATTGTGCAGTCACCTCTGTGTACACTACACAAACGCATGTAAATATGGACAAACATATTTTTTGAAATCAAATTAATGAATGTTGTAGATGTTCAATTTTTAGAATATAATTTGGTATTTTTCTGGTTCTGAGATGGCAAAACCCCTTGCTGAAAGGAGTACTTCCAGGGGGCAAGGGGAGGGCGTTCTTGTGGCAACGGTCAGGGGTTAGAGGGTGAGACTTCCAGTCACAAGATGGGGACTAGGAGACGAGGCATCCATGAATGGGCAGGGTCTACCCATGCAGCCCTGAACAGCTTGCCAAAACTCGGTGTGCAGCCCTGTGCCCAAAATAATTGCCCATCCCTACTCTGTGAGCTTCTGCCCATTGATCCTTGTCCTCCCTTGAGGTGCCTTCCTGAAGAGTTGCTGCCTTAAATTTTGATTCTCACCTCTGACATATTTGTATGACAATTAAATTTGGCTACATCCTAGACAAGGCAATAAAAAAAAAAACCAGACTGCATATTACATCACGGTTTCCTACCATACAAATCCAGAAAAAGAATAAAGAAGTTTCCACTTGCTTTAAAGCTTAGATTTAAACTGCGCCCCCTCCCTCCCCAAAAGTAACTTGTGCTAATTTATTCTATAGACTAGTAAAACTCAGTTGTTCTTGAATTTTTCCTGTGGGTAACCAGAGCTTAGGTTTACTTCAGGTAGAATTAGTAGGCTGTTATACAGAGTTTTGTAGAGGTTGTCCATTTATAATTCTTCAGTTTGTAAAACACACCAGTGAAACCCCATTTCACACTCTGTGCGGGCCCCTAACTCTAAAGGGGTGTCATTTATTATACATAATGGTCTAAAGCCATAGACCACCAAACAAAAGTGCCTTTGCCACTCTTCCAGCAACAGATTTGATCAAATTGATTGCAGGAATATAGGCCATTGTTTTAATTCATTGTACACAAAATAGGAAGCCTGTTCTTTAAGAGTATTAATTTATTTACAGGCCTAGTAAGAAAAGTTTGAAGTTGTCTAAAATACGGCAGTTTGCAGATGAGTGCCCAAAGTTTGATTCTAATTAAATTTCAAGGATTTTGTTATTTTGCAGTAGGAAAAAAATAATCACTTGGCAATAATACTTTTCAAGTTAGTTTAAATTGCAGTTGTTCTTTTGAGTAATTGTTGTAAAGTTAAGAACCAGAGAGACTTTATTTAGCCATGTCAGTCGCAAGTCCAGCAGAAGGCAGGGTAGATTGGCACTTTACAGACTAATTGAAGTGTGTGTGTGTGTGTGTGTGTGTGTGTGTGTGTGTGTGTGTGTGTGTGGAGAAGGGCAGTACTAGAAGAAGCAAACAAGCAGAGAACCCAGAAGAGCAAAACTAATGGAAAAAAAGTCCACAGTCCCTGATTAAATCATACTTAACACAATCCCGTCTGTGGATGATTTCCACTGTTTCCCATTCAAATCGGTTTTTAATGGTTAATGTCTAATAAAACTACCCTGGGGTCAGCAGTGTCTAGGGAGGTTAAGTGTTCTGCCAGAGGCCTTTGAATGGGAACAGGAATTTCCTTATTGATAAATGTTTAACTTTTCACTATAAATTATATTTATACTTCGCTTTTAACATAAGATTTGCCACTAGCTCTACCTGTTGTTAAATTTGCTGAATGCTTTCCGTTATAAGACCTTGTAATTTTGTGACCTGCAGCAGTTTGGGTTGAAATTTTACATGACTTGTTTCTGCCTCAGATATTTTAGAAAATTGCACCCAAAATGGTTAAGCTCATTTTGAAAAAGAGGCAGGGAAATTGGGCTGAGTTTTATAAGTCTTTTAAAGACTAATTAACATATTATCAGGAAAGATTAATATGATTTCAGCAGCTAAAATCTCCACGGGTTTTGACCTCACTGAAGATACCTAAGATTTTCATAGCTCTAGATGTTGACCTGACTCTGTATACCCCATCTCCACAGTGCTGTTGAGCATGTTCTAGCCCAGGACTATGGGGACAAAACTAGAGGTTTCAATATAATGGGTTCTCTGGGCCAGTGTGGAGGCTGACCTGAAACTGAGAGTAAGAATCTTGTTGCCCTTGGGGTCTCAGTGCTTCCCATGTTGGGCCTTGGCAAAGTGGAGGAGGAAGCTGTCCAGTTTAAATGCAGAGGAAGCAAAAGTCAGGTGAAGAGGGACGAATGAAATTAAAAATTGTAGGCAGGAAAGGTAGTGAGAGAAACTGGCTGAGCAGGGAGACTGGAACTTGAAAATGAAAGGGAGGAGGCTGTGACTAGAACCAGGATAAGTGGGAGACTGGAACTGAGAACCCAGTGATGGAAAAACACTATTTTATGGGGCAGAAATCTTTGTGGTAGATCTAAAGGTTGCAGCCTTGCCAACGTCCTCCGTAGCTGTCAGTGGCCGTGTTTACACGAGATGGTGACTGCACAGTTGTTACTGCATGCTCATTTAGTACTTGTATAAACTTCGCAGTAGCATCACCAAATGGCTTTTAGGTGATGCTGACTGTAGCAGCTCCTTCTACGTGATGCTATTGCGCAGTAGTAACAAGCTACTCTGTGGTCAGCGTCTTGTGTAGGTGCTACATGATGGATTTTGCCTCCAGTTTGTTTATTTTAAAACCTAGGAAATTGCACCAAGAAGATCAAAAGATGATGACTTGCAAAGTCAAACACTCAAAACTTAGGAAATGACAGATTTAAGATCTCCTATTTGGTCCCTTGTGTGAAGGCATTATGACACATTAATTCTAATTATGATACTATTAATTCAGGCATCTCCTACCTTTTGAGTGTTTGACTTTGTATTTTTAATAATGTCATAATGTGTTGTGTGTGTGTGATAGGAATAGAAAATGAACTATTTTCCCATCCTCATCAAGGTCAAGGTTGAGACACATGGCAGGGCAGCATGGGAAATTCGTTAGTGTTGTTCTCTGGGCTTTTCCTAGTCATGCACCTATTCTAAATCCTAAAATTAGGATACACATACATGCGCGCGCGCGCGCACACACACACACACACACACACACACACACACACGTACACGCTAAATTGTTTATACATAAACCTAATGAATATTACACTATGTTTCAGGTTCACAAAACAACAAAATTATTAGGGGAAAGTAGTATTATTAAGGTTCCCACCATACTCAATACCTTTCACTCTGGTAGTTTCAATTTAAGCACACTACCTTCACTTTGTGCTCCTACTGCATATTATTGCAAGGAAAAAGATAAGATAAGCTGACAAAACAGTCATCAGAGATTCAATGAAATCAGGATAAGTTCTACATGATGAGAGGAGCTATTAATATTTTAGTGGCTGTCTTCCCTACAGGCACCAGAGAATTACATCACTATGTATATGGTATAAATTGTCAGTGATCAATAGATTTAATGTACTGAGGGTCCAGGGAAGGATTTTTCAACATCTTGGTTACTGAACAACTAGATTTGATTATGGAAATAAAATAAAGTGTCTATAAAATAAATAATTGAAAACAGATTTTAAGTACAGATCATACAGAAACACCAGACTCCTGCATCAAATACCGCAGTTGGTTTTATTTAAGCATGTTGTTTTATTTAGCAGAATAAAACAGTTTGTTACTTTAACTAAAACCGTTGTGCATGGTTTGAGAACACCAAAATGATGATGTGTAAGTGTTAAAGTGGCACTTTAAATTATGTGACCTCATTTTATTTCTGAAAAGTCAAAATGTAGAAAGCTGAAGTCACATGCATTTGATAATTCCAAGCAACTCTTGATAAATAATACATGCTCTTTTTCCTTCACTGAGAACTCTCTCTGACTGCTCCAAAATCCTTTCAATGCAGGGCCCAGCCTCCTATCCCAGAGTGCACTTCAGCTCAATTCCAAACCTGAAGGGTCTTTCCAGTATTCAGCCAGCTACCATAGCAACCAGACCCTTGCCCTGGGTGAAACAGCGGCATCACAGCTCCCTGCCCGCAGCAGTCAAGCCCGAGCTGCCATTCAGAGCTACAGCCAGGTATGTTTGAGAAGTAGCCCAGTTCATTTACACAACACATTGCTGAAAGATACTTTGGGAATGTAAATTTATTGTATGTTTTAGTGACTTAATGAATCCTAGTAAACACTTTTTTTTCTCGTTCTTTTGGACATTACAATTTCTGTAGCAGAATTTAGCCAGCACCTTGGCTTGTAAATCTGAAACTGCTGTGCCTTTCAGAGTAATAAAATAATGCTGATTTAAAGAAGATATTACAGGCCATTTTTATTTACCTGCTTAAATATAGATTTTGGCAATTAACTTTTAGCATCTTACATAATGACTCCTAAGCATTAATGAGTAACTATTATTTGTTTACTGTAGTGACCAAGAGTCCTAGTTACAGGTCAGAACCACATTGTGTCATTATACCTGTTCTTTTGTATCTTTTGCGCCTTCTTTGAATATTGGTGAACTAACACCCAGTTCTGGACAAATGGTTAGTAAAATAGCATTTGTTAAAGCTAAATTGTAGCCTTGCTACAACCTCAATGATATCAGTACCTGTTACTTGGGAAAGCTGTTAGTGGAAAGGAGCCCAAACTAAAGTTGGATGATGTACACAATCAAAAGTTTGAAAGTGATGCACAATTCAATGGAGAGAAAATGTATAGCCAAGCACAGAAGTGTGATTTCATGCATTCAGATCATCAAAGGGCTTGATCAGGTTTACTCTTCCTTAGTCAAATATATTACCTATTACGAAATACAAAACACATTTTTCAGGTAAATCATGCATATATTTCAAAAGATTTGGAGGCTTGGTTCAGACAGGGATGCATAAGCCTCATTGCTCACTAATATTCTTTGCAAATCAAATTTCATGACAGCTTTCCTGATTTTATCCAAAAGTTCTTGGCTCTGTCAGTCCTCCTCTTTTTTCCATGACACACCACATCTCTCTGAGAAACTCTTGTCTTCAGTTTAGACAAAAGCTTCTAGAAATATTTATGGTTCTGTATATCCTGATTTGTCCCTGGCCCAGATAGCACAAAACAGGAAAAACAAATTTTAACAATGGGTTTTAGTTCCATTTCAGTTTTATTAGACAATCCAGGTTATTTCTGAACTTAACTAAATTGATTCAGCCTGTCCTACTTCCCAGGCCTTGCACTCTATCACAGGTGTCCAAGAAATAGCAGAGAAACTCCTGCAATGGTAGTGAGGCAACCAACATCCAGATATTTGATATGTACTGCAGATTAGTCTCTACTCGATAGTAATTTGATCCACCAGTATTCTTGTGAATGGGTACTGAAGGACTTGGTTGTATAAAACATCAGACTCATTCCAGCTTCTTTTTGTGTCTAGCCTTTTAGACAACGGTTTTCCCAAACAAATTTTAGGCAGGATTAAATTAAGTTTTTCTGGCTAAAGCCATGGTAGGATATTGTTATGTGACAACACTGCGCACGTAAGACAGGAATAGTGTTGCGACTTGCAAAGCTTTACGAAGTGTAGAGGGAGCTAGGAAGGTGTTATACAGTCACTGCACAGTTGTGGAATATAGGTAGACATACCAGTCATTTCATTCAGTGATGTGACTTGAAAAGCCTCCTGCTCTCAAGTCTGCAAGATAAAAGAAAGCACTGTCAACTAAAATATTTGCTATATTTTTAGACATTACTTCTTTCTTGCACTCAAGGTTAAAATTCATTCTGTAGAACTGTAGAGGAATTAAAACATACTGGCATGTCTGTGCGAGACACTTACCACACAGTAGCCTAATAATTATGGTATTGATAATTACTGCACAGTAGCCTAATATATTATGGTATTGATAAATAACTGTAGTTACTGTGCATTTAGTTAGTACTTCATTAAGTAACTACACTAAATGTACAGTAACTACTGTGCATTAATGAACATGTAGATGCACCCACAGATGCTTAATGGCTCTCTTAAATGTTTTAGTGGGAATATCCCTGCTCTCCTGCTGGACTGCAGCAGAAGGACAGCCCCCAAAAGGCCAGTTGCAGTTTGGTAGATATTTTCAAGACCTTTGCTTTGTCGGGGAAGAGGTGAATGGGGTGTCACGGCATGAGAGAAATAAGGAAACACTCACAAGAGCCTTTCAATTTAGAAGAATGCTCATTATTTGTATTTCTACAATTATATGTTATTGTATTTCCCTGGCAGAAAAGGAAGGTCCAGATTAAACCCACTGGATAAATGGAAAGCTCTAAATATATATACTTCTAGTTTATACATTTACAGGAAACAGCCCTAGTTTTGTTTTGAAGAAATTGAATATATATCATCCAGTATAAAACAGTCACACAGGTCACAGCCAGACAAGTGCAGACGTTTGCACCATGCACCGCACCTACTTGTTCCTGGGGATGTGCACACTGTGGTACACGGCAAGTTACCCCAAGGAAGGTAGAGGAGTCCAGGAGCAGCCCTGTGCTGGTCCAAGCACCCTTACCTGGAGTCCTGGGGGCCTTCTGGGGTTCCCAGCAGCAGTGATCCCACAGGGCAGAGCCTGGCTTGCAGCCCCAGTGTGGCTCTGGACAGTCCAGCTCCACTTTTCAGTGGCACACACTGCCCGTGCATGCACTGCTCCATTTTTTTTCCCATGGATTTGTTTGCCCACTAGATATCCAGGGGTCAAAAAAACCTACAGGGAAATAAAAACCAGAGCAGCACGTGCAGAGGCAGCACACCCTTGCAGCCTGGAAAACACCTGACCATGTGATATATGGTGCTGCAGACATATTCATGGTGCCACATACTGCATGGCCGCGCTCATCTGGACATGCCAACAGAGTGCATCATCGTAGACTAAATGAAGAGAGTAGATAGGTAAATGATAATTATGGTATTGATAAATAAGTAAAAATGGCAAGAAAAACAAGCTTCCTCTTTCTATTACCTCAGGCTATATACTATATGTATATATGCCTCTGGATTTTATATGTTGAAAGATATTGTCTGTAACCAGTTCATATGCTTTTCTTGGTATAAATTGAAAAAAATTGAAAAATATTGAAAAAGAATAAGACTATATAAAGCCTATTATGCTGTGTCATCCCTCTAAGGGCATCAAGCAACAGTGAAAAAGCAAATAAAAAGATATTTTAAAACTTTCAATGTGCCCCCCTGCCACAGGCAGGAATGAATGCTGAGTTCACAAGACCCCAGACAGGTGATCGTCCAACCTCCTCTTGAATTTGCCCAAGGTAGGAGCAAGTACCACTTCCCTGGGAAGTTGGTTCCAGATTTTGGCCACCCTAACTGTAAAATATTGCCTTCTGATCTCTAACCTAAACCTCTTCTCCATCAGCTTATTACCATTGTTTCTTCTCACCCCAGGTGGTGCTGGGGACAAAAGGGCTCTACCTATTTGCTGTTGATCTCCCCTGATGAGTTTGTAGGCAGCCACCAGGTCTCCCCTCAGCCTCCTCTTGCTGAGGCTGAACAGGTTCAGGTCCCTCAGTCTCTCCTCGTAGGGCCTGTCCTGCTGCCCTCTCACCAAGCGGGTGGCCCTCCTCTGAACCCTCTCCAGGCTGGCCACATCCCTTTTGAAGTGCGGTGCCCAGTACTGGATGCAGTACTCCAACTCTGGCCTAACCAAAGTTGCATAGAGGGGGGAGTATCACCTCTCTGGACCAGCTTGAGATGCACCTTTGGATGCATGACAAGGTATGGCTGGCCTTGCTGGCTGCGGTCTGGCATTGGCGGCTCATGTTCATCTTGGAGTCAATAATGACTCCAAAATCCCTTTCCACCCCTGTGCTTTTAAGAAGGGGACTCCCCAGCCTGTATGTATGCTGTGGATTCCTTCTCCCAAGGTGCAGCACCCTGCATTTATATATGTTGAACCTCACCCTATTCTCATCTGCCCACTTTTGTAGTCTGTCTAAATCTATTTGCAGCCTCTCTCTCCCTTCAAGTGTGTCCACCTCGCCCCACATCTTAGTGTAATCAGCAACCTTGGACAGCATGCTTTCCCCCCCCTCGTCCAAGGCGCTCATGGAGATGTTAAACAGTGCGGGTCCGAGGACTAAGCCCTGGGGTACCCCACTGCTCACATCTCGCCAGGCTGAGTACAACTCGTCCAACACTACTCTCTGGGTGCGCCCCATCAGCCAATTTTTTACCCATCCAACTGTGTAGTCATCAATGCCACAGTCACTTAATTTATTGATGAGGATGGGGTGAGAGACAGTGTCAAAGGCCGCCTTAAAGACTAGAAAGACTACGTCCATGGCGACACCATCATCCAAGGATTTAGTTACTTGGTCATAAAAGGCAATCAGGTTGGTCAGGCAGGACCTGCCTTTGGTGAACCCATGCTGATTACCCCTGAGCATGATCTCCCCTGCAGGCCCCCCACAGATGTGCTTCTTGATGATTCTCTCCAAGATCATCCTGAGCACCAAGGTGAGGCTTACAGGCCTATAGTTACTTGGGTCCTCCTTCCTCCCTTTCTTGAAAATTGGGACCACATTAGCTAGTTTCCAATCCC